ACTTATGACTCTAATAAAGCGCTTCTTGGGAGGCCACCCAAGCTTTCTACTTTAATTTTGAGTTTTGTTTTGAATTTATTTTAGATTTTCATTTAATGTATAAGTTGTGATAACTTTGGTTTAGTTTGATATGTTAATTGTTTATGTTTCATCCATTATTTCTGTTATGCACATTAAATTGGCCAAGAAAGGCGCATAGTTTGTTTTTTTACTAAAATCCCAATGACTATTAGACACGGCAAACATTATGCATGCCTTCACGCGATTATCTCCACATTCATCTTGAACAAGAAGGACATTGTAGTTGTTCTCTTTGTACATTGAGGATAATGTTCATCTCTAACATTGGGGGTAAGGAATATTTTTTTATGGCCAAATTTAGTTTCATTCGATGGACATCTTTGAATATCTTTTGCTTTGAATTATCTCTTTAAAAGCTTTTGGGTGAAATTGTTTTAGGTGTTTGCTCATACATAAGTCTATGATAAGACTATGATAGTGAATTTGTGACATTGAAATTTGATTAACTTTCACGTAGTGTAAAGACAATAGTAGATGACAATTGCATTTAGTTATGACTCTCTTGGGAATGGGTTTGATTGGTTGAATAATTCGGAAACTTAGAGACGTTTTATGTGTGTTTTTATGGGCAATAAATTTTTTGTAAAAATTGTGCATAAACTCTAGAACTCATTTGATAACCACTTGAGGCGAAATCCTGGAATCTGCATTGCTTAGGATATGATTTAGGCAATTTTCTTTGGAACGATTGAGCCTTTCAAGCCAACTTATATTACTTTATCCCTAGTTAACCCTTTGAGCCTATTATTATACACTTGGTAAGCCTTATTTTTTCTTTTTTTTCTTTTTTCGCTGAAAACCTAATATATCTCACCTTGACGATGAAGCCTAAAAACTTTTCGACCCATCTTATTGTGAGAGACTTAATTTAGGGTGACCTTATAAGAAAAACTCATGAAAAGAAATGTGGTAGAAGAAAATAAATATATCTTTTGGACCACAACCTGAGTATGTGTAATGAGATAGGTTGTGGGTTGTGAAAAGAAAAAATAATAATAATAGTAGAAGCAAGGTGGGGTAGAAATTTTTTTTTTTTTTATGAGTTACTATCTTCCTAAAATAAAATAAATAAATAAATAAATAAATAAAAATTTGCAGAAAAATAGGAAGAAGTAGCTGGGAAGAACAACTTCAAATGAGGTACATTACATGAGAGTTTGTGCTAATATTGGAAGAAAGAGTTCAATCAATGTGAAAGGTTAGAGGGCGAATGAGAAGGGAAGCAAGAAAGAGATTGTTCATGGTCATTTACTGTAAAATATTAAGTCTCTTACATTTTGTTAAAAATTCCTTTCCATTCTTTCATAAACCATTATCCTAGCCTAACGTTACAACCATGAAAAAGACCTAATGATCCGAGGTAGTGATTGGATTCTACATTAGTAAAGAGTGGTTTGAAAAGTGAGCTTATGGAGTTTGATTGCACATTTGTTTTATTTTCGTACTTTGACTATGAAATCTTTGCATAAAATCATCTGGGCTTTTGGATGAATGGTTTGTGAATGATTATAAGAGAGTCAATAACAAAAGTGTAGTTGAAATTCACTTATTCTTTGCATTTGCATGTTGTTAATTATTCGATTTATTCACATTGACACAATTTTTGAGACGATTATATGTATGAATCCTAAAATGTTTGTTTGAGTCTTTAGTTTTGAGTCTAGGTGAGGTTAGGTTTGGATGTTTGTGGGTATCATCGCTGGAAACCCTCATGAGACTAGAACTCGTCCAACTAGGGCCGCCTAGGGGTTTAAAGGCTTGTTACATATGTTAAATGCAACCGTGACAATCTACAGAAGTGATTTAGGATAGTTTAGATATAGACATTATTTTGTTTGTGGTTTCAAGCTAAAGGACTTGTTCTATTGCTTAGCTTGCTAGGGACTAGCAAGAAGCTGGTTGGGGGTTGTGATAAGAGCTTGAAAATACACATTTAGTTAGTGGTTTATGGGGATTAATTGTGGGAAATTAGGTTTAATTTGGTTAAGTTGCTTAATATTTTCATAATTGTCTTTTACGGGATCACGAGTGTTTTTGAGTGTTTTTCAGGCTACTAGTGCTTAAATGTTATGCTCAGATGAAGAATCATGTTGGCAATGGAATGAGTGACGAGTGGAAACAAACAGATCAAGAATCGGAGTTGAATTGAAGAAGTTATGGAAGTTGAAGTAAAGAGAAGATTCTAGATGACATTCTAGCTTCAACATTCCTTGATATTTTGAGAATATCTTGATCTGTAGAACTAGGATTAAGACAATTCTTGAACCGTTGGAAAGCTGATTCAAAGGGCTACAGTTCATATGTTTACCACTTTTCCAAATTTCATCTTTATCAAGTTCAAAAATCACCATCTCTAAAGAATAGCGGAATGATGCTGGAAGAAAGTCAGCAGCTACTGTGCCGCGGCACAGTGCTACAACACACTTTTTCCAGTAGCTACTATGCCACAGCATAGTGCCGGGGCACAATCAAGGAACTTAAAAATCACTTGTCCATTTTTTGGTAGAAAAATAGGGTTAAGAGTCCTATCCCTAATAGAATTGAAGGAAATAAAACCCTAACCCTTGTAGGATATAAAGAGAGGTCTTTTAGCATTATTTTGGAGATATTCTTGGGTGAGAAGAAGAGGAGAAAAATCTACAGAGAAGAGAAGTAACAGAAGTTCTGGAGCTTTGATTCACAATATAGAGACGTTTTCCTTATTCTTTTCTTATAAACTCATGATGAATGTTTTAATAAAGATGATTATTTCTTTCATGTTTATTATAAACTAAATTTATTCTTAGGGCTAAGATGTAGCCCAATCTCTTAATTATGTATTGATCTTTGATTGTTAATGTTTATTAAGAATTCTTCCTAAGTTTTACTATTATTCCTAATGCTTTTGATTCTTAAGGGCTCAAGAATTGAATGAACTAATGGACTAGGTTAGATCGAGAGATGATACTTAGTTGGTCTACGGTAGTAAAACCATAGGTTGAGCGAACGCTAGAGATAGGTTACCGCGACTTGTGAGGTTTTGGAAAACTCCATAAAGCATAATGCTCTCCAATTGCTTAAATCTGATTAGAGATAATTCGGGTTAGTAATTATGAGTTAATTTGATAATTGTTCGAGAGAAAGTTATTGGAAATTTATGGAGTTTGACCTGTAGGAATAGCTTAACCAAATTAGCATAAGAGATCGATATGTATGAATAAGAGTTGGTGTGAAGTCTATGCCCTAGGTCTAGTCATCTTGTTTTTACCCAAATGTTTATTTTAATTGTTCTCTTTTTAATTTCAATTGTTAATTTAGTTTAATTTAGGTTTTCCTTGATAAAATTTGGATTGATCAAATAGTAATAGGATAATTTAATTGGTAATTAATAATAGTAATTCCCTTGGGTTCGATATCCGTATTTATACACTTTATTACTTACACGATTTAGCACATTTGCAAAAATCTACAACAGGCTACCAAAGCAATGGAGAGCCAAGTCAAAAGTTTTAAATATCGAACCTACCCCATCTTCGCTTTTAGAAGCAAAATTAATTACTAGGGACCTGCAATAGATTTTTATTACCATGCTCGTTAATTAACCTATAAATTCAATTAATAATCTGCGTGTATATGGTTGCCTTTCATTTATATACACTTAATTGAATTTAAAGATCTATTAGAAAATATAAATATATTTTCAAAGAAGTATATATATTTTGACCTTCCCTGAGTTCTGATTCAGGTAAAATAGGTTAAAATCTGTCTTAGGGGGAGGCTTGAATAATTCATGAAATTTTCAAAGAGACCTTTCGTGAATTTTTGAAGTTTTCTTTTTTTTTTTTTTTTTTTTTTTTTTGGGGTTTATTTTTCAAATCATAAAGAGAAAACAACATATTCCTACCCGAAGTTTAGCGAAATCTCAAGTTAATACAACTGGTTGCATTTATTTTAGATTCTCATACCTAAAGTAACGTCGTTTCCTTTATTTTAACAGATTCCCAACTTTTCACTATAGCACGGTGCACGTTAGCATGCTAAAGTACGTCGGCGCTTTCTTTGGCAAAAGATGGGGCTCATGTTAGCAGAAAGCGGCTCACGTTAGCAGTGTCCAAACCGACGAGTTTTGGTTTTTTCTTATCGATTCCAAAGTCCAAAATCACTTCTAAGACCACCGTTGAACTCCTTATAACCTCTTTTACAAAACTTATACCTTCACTTGCCGACCTCACTCATCGTTTCCGACCACCTCCAACAGTCACTAACGGTGTTTGTTTAAGAGTGGGAATCTAGAATAAATATAACCAGAGATATCAACTTAGGTTTTCGCTAAACCTTATGTGGTAATATGTTGTTTACTATCTATCCTAGATCTAACTGGGTCAGGGTCATTCCTTGTATCCGTTCTTATAAATAGTACTTCTGTAATGAATATAATTTAATAAATTTACAGATATGATAAGACTTTGCTTGTCCAATTAAATGGAGGACATGGTCATTAAGTAATGGGAAAATTGCATAAATAACGGCTGCCTAACGTTGAGAGTTTTCTTTTCCATTTTACAAGATTTTAATCATTTAATGAAACCTCAGGAACTATATCAATAAGTAATATATATATATATATATATATTGTCCTTCAATTTACCAACCCTCTATTTCATTTTTGGGTTGTTGAATGTGGAGCAGAAAAGACACCTAGTTCCTTTATTAGATCATTAATGCATAAATCCATGTTATAGCATGAAAATCACTTATATAAGATGCATGACTAGGACTAGGTGTTCCAACTGGAAGTTTCACAATAAAACATACAAATTTTGTAATTTTTGCAGTCATTACAAACATTTGATAAATTTAACAGAGAAGACAAGGATGCCTACCAATCTCTTGCCATTGCATATTGACTTGAAAGATACAATCTAGGTACAAGCCCACCTCTAGTTGCCAGATTCCGAGCGAAGCTGCTCCAATAGTTCTGGCTTTAAAACAGCATAACCGCTCCATGTTCTCCATTCGTTAGAAACCAAGCGAAGCAGCTCTTTGAGAGATGAGGCTGATTTTGAAACGAGTGACGCTGCAATGGGAGAGACAAGGCTAGGGTTGAAATGAATAATCCCAAATTGGTCAGGAAGGCCGGTGATATCTTGATGGGAATACTGAGCGATTTCAATGAAAAAACGCACGAACCAACTCCTTTTCATGCCTTCCTGATTAGTACAGTGTACCAGTAGCAAGAAAATTTTCAATTCGGAGTTGAGGATCGATACATAGTTGAGATACTTGTTCCACTGCATAGAGGAATCATATGTACGCTTGAAGCTAACAGAAAATCCTTCGAGTCTACTACCACTAATTTCCCATATATTCATTAGATGAACCTCATGTTCTTTAAAATTAAACGTCCCCCTGAGACCAGCAACTCACAACCATGCTCAGAAAACAACACTCGGAATGCATAATCATACCTGACCCTTTGCCTGATGAGAAATGAAATAGTGTAGAACCCCTCATCCTCTAAACTGAAAGCAAGGATCACTTTATGACTTTTGCGATTTCTATCCTTGATTATCCAGTGGAGAGCCCCATTCCAGCATACAACTGAATCCCAGTCACCTTCAAGTGCAATACCAGGTCTCTTTAATTGTCTCCATGAACTTTCTCCGAGCGTAATTATTTGAAACCCACTAATGAAATATTTGTTGTTGGTTCTGTATGCTCGCACAACTTTGTATTGACCAGATAATGGATCAACGCCAAAACCAATTTGATGACCGAGAAAATTTTCTTCTAACCCAAGCAATGGCAAAATCAGGCACTCTTTTGTTACTGGGTTACATATGATTACAGGATCTAGCTTATTTTTCTAAGAAATGCAGAGCAACCCATTGCAAGAACACATAATTTGAAGGGCAGGCAAATGAAATCTAAAATGTGCTGGCAACAGCATTTTCTCAAAAGGAATCTTTCTAATCTTGTGCTCCTCAATGTCTAGTAATAGTAGCCTCTTCACATCTACTTTATATTTTGATTGAAGCATGAATTGTGGTGGTTGATTATTGGCCTTGCTCAATTGCAGATTGATGAAATATGGATTTTGAGTCAGTCCATACCAACTCCAACAAACACTTATGCATCTCATGATTGATTCTATGGGAAGCCTAGACAGAATGTCATAAATTAAATCAAGAGGCAAAATATCCACTTCCATGTGTATCTTGCCATATCGATGGCCTCTGCGTCTTCGCTTGAGGGTCATCATCCGAGAACGCATTCTAAATCTCACCTCAAATCACTTCTTACAACACATATATATCTCATTAATCAAACTTTAGGCATGGCATGACTTTGACAGTAACTCTGTGATAACATAAGGAAACCATAGATAATGTAACATTAGATCAAAAACCAATACCAAAATTCCAAACAAAACATAGGTTTTTCTGTAGTGATATACATTATTTATATAAAAATACCATCTATTCCATAACCAAATTCGTTAAACTGTGAAAAACACATTTTATGTTACAATCTAAATAACTCCACTTAAAGCCCCAGTTTTTAACCATCTTCCAACTAAAAAATCAAATAAAATCCGTTCTCCCCAATCTCCGTAATTACAAAACCAAGTTGCATAACCGATTATTCTTTGTGTGAGATGATAGTGTAGATTTTTACAGATAACTCTAAGATTAAAACTGATGAAACAAGTAAATAAACACTAAAGTGAACAAGGCACAATAAAGAGACAACAAGAAGAGGAATCAAACCTGGATTGAAGAAAGGTTGAAGGGTAGACGTTTGAAAGAGAGGTTGATGAAAATTATGAAGACTGAAATTGAGTTTGATTGATTAAAGAAGCCAAATGAAAGAAAGAGAACTGGTGTCGAGGTTTATCTTGAAACACAACAGCAGCACTTGAACGTCACCCACATGATCATTTCCCACTCCAGTTCACTCCATACCCAAACTCACTATACTTCAACTCGATTGCCACAGGAAGTTACCGAAATTTCATGTCTTCTTCTACATACTAGGTTAAAGCGTAACCCAATACATCTAACTTTTTACACATTTCGACACATTTCAGCAATATTGTATAAAGGTTCGTGGGAAGTAGTCATGGGTGTAAAATTACTTATAGGGAGTGTTGGATCATTTAATGTTTTATTATAGGGGATATTATATTAATGGAATAAAAGATCACCGGAAAGATTACTAGAAATGTTTAAAAAATATGTTTAGTTGGTTCGAATAAATAGGTGAATAATATGTTTGGTTGGGAGGATAAATGGGTGCGTATGTTATATAGATTACTAAATTACCCTCTTTTTTAAATACTAATATAACAGTATTTTTTGAATAATTTCTTTTAACCCTCTACTTTTCAGATTTAGCAAAAACACCCTAGCAACCAAAAACGTTTTAAACTTAATAAAAACACCCATACGCACCCTAAGCCACTGTTGACAACTAGCCACCATCGTTGGCGGCCATTGACAGTGCCACAAATCTGGTCGTGACGCCAGCAGTGTCATAGATTTGGTCATTTCACGACTAGATTTATGGCCATGAAATGGTCAAGTCTTTGGCCGTGAAACGCCAACCGCTTCACAGTCAAAGACCTAGCTATTTCACAGCTAGATCAATCGTCATTTCACAGCCACATCCTTGGCCGTGAAACGACTATAGATCTAGCCGTGAAACAGCTAGATCTAGCTTTTTCGACCATGGATCTGTGATCCATGGTCAGAAAAAGCCTCACCGGCACACGACCGACCATATACAACCGGTCGTACGCCATTATGGTGACTTTTGATAGCCTCCAGTGGCTGTCCATGGTGGCTAATTCTAGGCATAATGGTATTTATGTAAATAATGACAATAACAAAGGCAATGTCGTCCGAAAAAATTAAAAAGTGAGGACAAAAGTGTATGCATGAGTGATTGGGTGTTTTGTAAATATTAACAAATATAAGGTTAATTTGGACCAAATGCTCAACTGTTTAGGGGCAACATGGGAAAAAAAATTGTAATACCAGGGTAAGTTTTAATAACAGCCCTCCCCCTCCACCCCCCGGTATTAAGATTCCCAGAATATACCCCCCAAATGCTACTGTTTGTCATAAAATATTACAAGAATAATTTTTTACAAACCAACCAAACATCGTCATCTACTCAATTTAAAAAATATTACCCCAATTATCTAATATTAACCTGATCCAAATGGCCCCATAGAGGTATATTATATTAACGGAAATAAATATCACCTTAAAGATTATTAGGAATGTTTAGAAAATGTGTTTGGTTTGTTCGAATATATTGTTGAATAATATATTTGGTTGAAAGGATAAATGGATAGGTATGTTATATAAATTATCAAATTGTCCTCTTTTTTAAATACTAATATAATAGTATTTTTTATTATTATTTTTTGAATAATTCTTTTAACCCCCTACATTTGAAATTTTGCTAAAACACCCCAATCATATAAAACTTTAATTTATAAAAAAAATCACCACCCACCCCAAGCCACTATCGGCAGCTAGCCACCACTGTCAGTCGCCATCGACAGTCGACGGAACGGGGCACAATTGGCCAGTTGTGCGTTGGCAAAGCCGGAAACGACCATGGATCACAAATCCATGGCCGAAAAACGGCCAGATCTATGGCCATTTCATAGCCATAGAAACCCCAGATCTGGTCATTTTCGGCCATGGATCACACCGACGCACGACCAGATAGATCCCACAGGTCGCGCCCCATTACGGCAACTGATGCAGGCAGTCAGCGGTGGTGAGTCACGGTTGGCGGTGGTCTTGGGTGGTTGGGGATATTTTGCTAACTTTTAAACTTTTTTGTGGTTGAGGTGTTTTAGCTAATTTCTCAAATGTAGGAGGGTTGGGTAATTGTTATTTGGTAGACATTTGAGAGCAATTATGTCCGAAATGGTTTTTAATTAAGGGCAAAATGGGTAAAAAAATCATATTACCCCGGTAATGTTTTAATAACACCCCCTAACAAGGTAATAAGATTACTCCCCACATCACCAACAGTAAACACTATTTACAATAAAAGATTCTCGTAATATTTTATTACTTACAAACCAAACATAGGAATCTTGCAAAATAAACGAAGATTATCCGTGTTATCTTATTTACCCCCAATCCAAACGGCTCCATAGTCTAAAATATCTAACTATTGTTATTTTGCAACCCCAAGGGATTGGCCTAATCATAAAAAAGGAATGTTTCCTTCATTGACTTCCGGTGTTTAAATTATCTTGAGATCACCTATCGTATTTGTAGTTTACCTGAAACACTGGGCTTATTAGATGTTCAATAACCCTCGATGATTAATTGAGGTGCGTACAAACTGACTTGGACACCCCGATTATTAAAAAAGAAAAAAAAAAAAACACATTGTTATGTTACACATTATTAGCTAATAAAATCTGGAACATGTTTGCATAAAGTTTAAAGATAAATTTGTAAGAGTATAATTTAAAATGAACAATATTTATTTAGTTGGATTTGCGGGATGTTATGGATATAATTTGGGTTTTTTTTTTTATTTTTTTTTTTTATGTAATTGGATGTGTTATATTTACATGATCATATAAGGAAATTGAACCAATTTTAGTTTTAGTTGAATAGATAAAGTGTTTAATTTTTATTGTTCTCATAACTTAATCCCTAAATCTTTCATTTCTATAATTTATTTTGTTATGAATCCCTTCTTGTATGAATTACTCTTTTTGATAGGTTTTTATATGAATAATTTTCCTACACAAACTACATGTTTCTTAAAAACAGAAAAAACCTTAAGAAGGCCATTGTCCCTTTGATTGTGTGTTCTCTTAATTGGGCTTGGCCCAATGTTTCATATTGGGGCTTCGCATATTTCCCTTTTGGGCTTCTGCACTCAAACCCAAAGTCTATTTAATTACCTTATATGCTCAGCTCACTCTCTTCTATACTATTATTAAACCCAACACAGATATATATTAATTAAACTATTGCTCCATATTAATTAACCCACACAAATTTTGGGATATACCTCTATCTTAATTTTATATTAATTAACATGTTGCCTCGTATTAATTAAGTCATAAAATTTTTGGTATATATACCTTAATCTTGATTGTATCTGTATTAATTAAGCCACACAAAATTTGGGATACACCTTAATCTTGATAGTGTGTGGCCATATTTTGGGATATACCTGAATCTTGATAATGTCTCACTCATTGGTCAATTTTTGGCTCCCAATTAACCTCGATTTACCCATTGGTTGAGTTACAGGAGGCCCATTTTAGGGGTCCAACTAACCTTGGCTTATTGGTCGATTTTGACTCTCACATTCATCGGTTTTTTGCTACCAATTAACCGGGGTTCACCCATTGGTCCATTTTTGGCTCCCAAATAAGGGATAAGAACTTGACTCTGCTTTGATGCTTAGATACTACTGGTAATTCTAAAGACTAATCTATTAAGTAATGTTACCTACATGATTTTATAAGTTAAAGACCTAACTCACACTTATCCGATATGGAACTTAACATTAAGCATAAAAAATCGAAGAAAGGGATAATGAGATGCTGAGAGAAATAAATTTTAAAAAAATGTAATTGGATAAACAAATTATTTCCTCTCAAGTGTAACGAATCCCATATTGGAAACGTATTAGAAATGTCTTAGGCTTATGAAGGGGGGAATCTTTCTACCTAATAGATTAGCAGTTTGGATGTGAAACTCTTGGCCCATGACAAAAGGTATCAGAGTGAACCCGATCCATCTTTCGATGTCCCATCAAACGCCCACGTAGGGGCATCCACATATGATTGTGGATCCACACAAGAGTGAGGTGGACGGGTAGACAGAGGGAGCCTCGTTACAGGATTGAGTGGGGGAGAATGTAACAAATCCCACATCGAAAGCGTATTGAAAAAGTCTTGGCCTTATAAAGAGAGGAGTTCCTCCACCTAACAGGTCAGTCTTTTGGGTGTAAAACTTCTGACCCATGACACAAGGAAGCATATCCCTCTCTTTGAAATCTCAAGCGGTGGGGATGGGTGTTGTTGAGAGGGACAAATCCATGAATAGGGGAATGGGTATTGATCAGTATCATTCAGTAAAAAGCAAGTGGGTATTGTCATTTTCCCATCTTTAAATTCCCTTGTGGAGATCTAGCTACCTCAAGTTTCATGGATGGTGGCATCCACATTTGTTGCTTCCTTTTCTCCCGTCAAATTTTCAAACGCATCATCCACCT